CTGGTGTTATTCAAGGGAGTGTACTCGGTCCATTACTGTTCTTGCTCTACGTCAATGACATTAATGCGGTTATCAGTCATGGCATGACTTTGCTATTTGCAGATGACATAAAGATAGTCTACAAATTGCGACGAGCTGAACTTCAAGATACACTAATGTCCATATAGAAAGACCTCCACTCCCTTGAGTAATGGTGTGACGCCTGGATGATGAAGTAGTCGGCGAACAAAGCTAGCATCATGTATCGCGGCTGTTCGATACCCGGAGGATTAATTACGCTCAATGGCTAACACCTTTGATACTGATACCGATACTGTATTTAAGAGCAAGTAGAAAGGTTTCTGTACAACTCTATCGAATTACGAAAAATCAAAATTTACTTTTGAATTACCAGCACTTGTGTCTGGTCCGTTAATCGTTTATCCTTGTTCGGTTAAGAATTTGTATAATGTCATTATTTCCGGGCATACAATGTCTTCTTTTGGCACTGTATGTGCATCGTCTCACAAAAGCACAGGTTTCCAAAATAATCGTCGATACGGGTTTTAAAACACTTCACAGAATCGGTCTTCAGGTAGTGTATTCCATAAGTTTACGATTCTTCTTTCGATACAAAGCTGATGTGATACTTTGTTCACGCTGGGGACCCTGAGTTTGTAACGATGTCCTCGGGTGTTACAGGGTTCCCGCAGGTGAAATATTGGCCGCAGTATGGGGAAGTGATTCAAGTGTAGTACCCGATGGGTCATAATAAGGTCAATTCTTACTCTGCGATAGGATAGTGTGTAGAGTCCGAGCCTTTCACAACGTTTTTCATACGGAAGCTTTCGTACACTCGGTATCATTCTAGTTGCGATATGCTGTATTTTCTCCAGTTTTTCAGTTTCCCATTGGGTTATCGGATGGTAAGCTGGGGCACCGTATTCAAGGATTGGTCTAATGAGCGAGGTGAATAGACGAGGGACGGTTTCTTCGGACCATGTGGAGAAACTGCGTCTTAATGCCCAGAGCATACGAAGTCCAGCACAGTACAATTTCTCTGTATTTTCTAGTGATCTTAAATCATGTCGTGAGAGAACTCCTAAGTCTCTGACAGATGTGTTGGGATGGAGCAACTGGCCGTCCAGGGTGTATGATCGAGTGGCTGGACGTCTGGTGATACTGATGAACTCCGACTTGCTTGCGTTAAGAGGGAGTTGCATTTCAGTGGACCACGTTGACAGTCGCTCTAAGTCATGCTGGAGGCGAGCGCAGTCGTCCTGGTTCTCAATGATCCTCCAGCTTTTCAAATCATCTGCAAACAAGGCACATGGTAACTGGAGCTGCTGCGGAAGATCGTTGATATGAATAAGAAATAATACTGGCCCAAGTACAGTTCTTTGAGGCACGCCACTGGCCGATGGGAACCAGTCTGTCAGATAGTCATTGACCTGCACTCTAAACCTTCGTCCCACAATAAACTCGTGTAACCACTGAAGTAACGTGTCACCAATTCCGTATGTCCTCAGTTTACGAAGGAGTACCTCGTGGTTCATTCTGTCAAACGCCTTACTAAAGTCGATGTAGACCACGTCAACATCCTTCTGTTCATTGAGAGCTCGAACCCACTGGTGGTTTGCGTACATCAAGTTGGTGATGCAGGATCGCCCTTTCGTAAAGCCGTGTTGCGCTGGCGTCAATACGTCCATCGATGCGAAGAACCACAGCAGACGCTTTTTCATAACCTTCTCGAGAACTTTGGATAATACCGAAGTCAAACAGATCGGTCAATAGTTCTCTATTTTACTCTGATCACCACCCTTGGGAAGCGGTTTAACTATCGAGCATTTCCAGTCGTTCGGGACGGATCCTTCAGAGAGCGATTTATTGAAAAGATTTGTCACAGCTGGTGAGATGATAGTCGATAGGGACTTGAGTATTAGTGGGTGAAGTCCGTCTGGTCCGGGGGGCTTTGCACCATCGAGGTTGACGAGTAGCTGATGTACTTCGACCGCATCACATTGTAGACTGTCGAGCAAGACTTGCGCAACCTGTGCCAGTACTGAAACCGCCGCCGGTTTACTGGAAAATACAGTGAGGAAGTGCGTAGCCAAGGCGTCCGCGCGCTCCGCGCTTGAAATGAGTGTCTTCCTGTCTAAGCTTTCTAAGACCGGTAGGTCGTCCCCAGGTTTCAGTTGACGTTTCAAGTAAGCAACTATTCTTCTGGGTGCAGTTGTGGCCGAGGATGCTAGCTCCTCTGCGAACTCTGGGCGTTTCTTGATCTTTGCGGCGTTACAAAAGTTACGTTGTTTCTCGTACACCGTGTAATCTTCATCACAACCCGAGCTGATGTATCTATCCCAAAGTTTGCGACGTCGTCGCGCTAACTGTCTATATTCCCTAGCAAACCAATGCGGTTTGACAGGTCCAATTTTTGAGTACTTAAGGGGAACGAACCGAGTACAGAGCGAGTTAAGCTTCTCCTTTATTAATGACCACCAGGCCTCAGGTGACGCATCCTGTGGTAGTGTCCAATCAGTCTGACTTGCGGCTTGGACGAGTCCGTTGAAGTCCGTCTTCCAATAGTTGAATGTCGGCTTCTGTTGATTGTAATATGGTAACGACAGTTCTAAGCTTGCTACAATAGAGCATTGGTCACTGTTCGCAAGAAGTTCGATGACTCTGATCTCTTTTAGCTTCTGCTCGCAGCTCGTACAACTGTCTACCCGCGACCTCGGAATCAGGTATACTTGCACCTTCAACTTTTCTGAACAAGTGAAATACCAGCTGACTAGGGCCAAAAAACCAATAACTAATATATTACATAAGATCTACATAACTCCAGCCAGATTAGAACTTTTCAAAATCCTCACTCACCCCATTTTGGGATACTGTAGTATCATCTGTGGCAGCATAAGGAAATATGACAGGGTATCTCTGGAAAGCACACAAAGGTCATTTACCAAACGTTTGCTAGACATAAGATCCACTAAGAACTACGGGGAGCGCTGTCAGCAATTTCAGCTCGATCCACATTGGCCTGATGCTTCCGTATAACATGATTCATCAAAACTCCGTGCTATTCGCCCTCCCTAGAACTACAACATAGTTCGAAAAGCGAGCTACGCAATAAGGAGTTTACTCTGTGTGTACCCAGGTGCAGGGTAAATCTGCGGTCTAACCTTTCCCTCATCAGATATGATGTCTTGTGGAATAAGCTTCCAGTCACAATCAGAACATGTGAGAGCGCAACAGCATTTCGTGTTAAGCTCACTAATTACCTAGCTTTGAACATGATTATGACCCTGTTCTCTTGGGCGAGATCACTTGACGATTTGTACCAAGGCCAGACAATATCTAATGAGTAAAAAAATTTCATACGGTATGACACACTCCTAGTGCTGTTACCATTCACAATTTCAACTAGTGCACATTGGATCGAAACACAACTGTGAGTTAATACAAACCGTTGAAACAGCAAAAGCAATTAAAATTACCATTCATGCATGAGCATGACATATTCTGTAAAATAGGATCTGTGCCAAATATAGCCACAGTTTCTCGCGCAATGAGAAATATACCTATTATTATTATTTCTCAAAGTTGGCTAACCATTTCTGCCTACAAATAAATCTCTACACTCCCTGGTTAGGGTTCGAAGGAAGACCAACATGTTTGGCTGGATACACATATTGACATGGCTAGGAGCTGACCTCACTGGCGTTTGCGTTGGGAGTTTCTTTGCCCCTCCCCTCACGTTTAGCCTCCCCCTCCAACGACGACCACGTTTACTAGGCCTAGTGTAACATTTTGCGGCATAATAGTCAGAAGGATGCTCATCCGTTACTAACGGTTCAGCTGGCGTGCATCCGTTACACATTTTTTTCCTATATATTGCGTCACAATTGCTGAGGTGCATCCCACCTCTAGCTGACGTGTATATTGAATGAAGGAAGACAGTTAGATTATTGGAATTGACCACCGATTTGTGATAATATTTTGATATTTGTGTTTCAGTAGCATTAGGTACTGTAATACCACTTAGTTGACCGTTTTTCCATGGGCCAAAGGTTCACCAGATAAGCCCTGTAGAACCAGACCTCTGTGTGCTGACCACCTCTGTAAGTTGTATGTTGACCACTTGGGCTATAACAGTTATTATTAAGCTAGCCTGTATGAGTTGATCATGTGGAATGTTACTGTGCAATGGTTGTCGAATGACCGTTTGTTCAAATAATAAGGTGTATGTAGCGGGGTATTGCGATATGCGAAATTATCCGGACCCACAATCACTGCATCTTACTGTTCCGCAGTGCATCGGATCACCGCAGATTCGCATCCACGGGTTGACCTTGTGAACCGTTTCCTCACCCATTTACACAAGCAGGTCCACTCCTTACACAGGTCGCAATCAGGAGGTTAAGTGCCTGTCTGTCGTCACACCAGTTCTACGCTAGCAGTTCACTTACGTTTGTGATAAGAGGAAGAAGCAAACAATACTTAACCCTTCACAACAAAATGGTTTATGTTTGAGGAAACTACATGGTGTTTTGCTTTATTCTAATACTGCATTATCTAATTGTCTGTCATTCTGTGGGAGCTCTTGTAATAAATTTGAAGTATTATGTACCTGGATATAAAGTTTCTACCACGACTGGAAAGTGAAGTACGTTAAGTTTTCGTGAAAAACCTCCATATGTTGACCATTTTGGTTCAGCCACTTGGGTATTTAGCTTACGGAGGTTTTACTGTATGTCAACGTTGACTGAAGATCGATTTGGCCATCCTTTAAACTTTGAGCAAATGTACTTAATTACTATTTCCACAGCCAGCAGCAGAAGCCTTGTCTGGAAGTCCTGCAGGAGAGAACACATGTCAAGTCTATAAATGAAGACTCCATGTCGAACAAATTCTCACAAGGGAAGAGAACCTACATGTTGGGTGCAATTTCCGGGTGATTAGTGAGTGTGTGAGAAGGAACATTACGGGTATGTAATCCAGTACGGTCCAACTGAACTCACAAGGGGGCGTGGTTCTCCTTTCGCATTGCTTTGCACGAACGACCAGACTGTCTACTCAAGTACTTTGTGGCAGGGGACTCAGCAAAAATTGATGGCTCAGCGGCTTCATTCACGCAAGATGTATGCATGTTGAAGAAGTTCACATAGGGATAAATCTCTGTATTAATGTAGGTGTCCTGTAACGGGAAGAAGAAGTAATCGGATTGAACCTAAAATGAGCTTGTGGTTTTGATCACAAGAATGCGGAATTTTCGGGGTCCTGTTGTTGTTTTATCGGCTCTATGTTGATATATTACATTTTAAACAGCGGTAAGTTAGTAAATAAATAGTATCTAACCGTTTCTCATCGTCGTCACCATCAATACATATTCAGAAATAAAGTTAAAGTGATATTGAATCCCTTTGTCAAATGTATTCCATTAAGTTGATGCACGGTTTGAAGTTCCAAACCAGTTTCATAGTTCGCAACACTCCTGAGGTTCACATTTTAAGTTAACACTCTTAACGAGGCTCCTCTACGCTATTCCACGCTACTGCACGCCACTCAACTACGCATGGATGATGTCACCTCGATTGGTGACGAAACTTTTGCAACCAAATTGCCAAGCTCAACTGCCATCTGTTAACACATGTTCATATAATCACACTGATGGCTTTTGGAGTCACATTATCTTGGTTTATTAAACAAATGTTAACCATTTGTGTCGTCATGTTTAAGTAGTGGTTTTGTGGGTGGATTGCAACTTGCAGTCATCATTAGTATCGCGACTCTCCTTGAAGTGGAATTTGGCCAAATCGGCAATGAATACTGCATATGAAGGTGCTAATCGCAACGTTACAAGCTACAGGCACGATTCCGATTTGAACCCGGGATATTGGAGATGTCTGCCGACTCCTTTTCGCTTAGGCCACAGAGTTGCGGCAGGGAAAGATTGCCACAAAAGGGATTAGCTGATTGGATATGTGGTTTTGTGTCTCACCTTGCGTGAAGGATCACGAAGCGTAAGCTAATCGGAAAAGTGGCCTGATACCGCGATCGATAAAGTAGAGAGGCAAACGTCGCGATGAGGTAAACAACGACCCGCAGGCGAGTTGCGGCTTGGGGCACCATTAGTATGCATAATGTGGGTATTTAGGAAGTTATTCTCCTTCGAACTCCCACGTTCCAACTCACAACGAGTGCAAACTATCATGGAGGCACGAATTCCTGCAAATCGCACCCCACAAGCAAATGCTTTGAATGTAAAAACAACTGCATTAGCCATTTGATGCTACCGCCAATCGCTTATAATGCGGTTCATTATCCACCTATCCTCTCGTAGTTAACTATCTAAAATCAGATCTAGGTTGCAACGCCATCGCACAGAGCACGTGCAGCCTGCAGAATGGCTTGTCATTGTAGTGGAACACGTACTGAAATAAAGAATAAAAGCGAAAACAGCTAATCTTGTCGGTATCCGCAGTCAGCAATGCCGACATTGTTTTCTTTGACGTGACAAATGTGCCAAGCAGGTAGAGCAGAGCTAAGACGATTGCAAACTGCTACCTTCACCGTAAGCAGGATTTTCAGCAGCAGTAGATTCAACGCCAGCATTTTCAACTTACAAAAAGATGTTTCCATTTCCGACAGGAGTGGCAAAATTTTCACCCAGGTTTGTCATCAATTTACGGTTTATTTGCTTTCGCTTCTTTGGTCTCCCGTAAGCTGCCTGATCTACTTCCTTCGTTTCTCTTTATTTTTGCAGGTTTCCTACATCATTGCTGTAGCTGACTTGTCGAAGAACCTCCTCGTGGTGTCAGCTGGGTGGTTCGGGATTTTCCCGTTTCAGCAAATGGATTGGAGACAGTGTTCCAGGACGTGGTGGGTTTTCGCCTGGCAAGCGTTCTCCCTATAAAAAACCACATATGTCCGTTTAACAACACTGTGACGTGGCGGACGTGACTCGCCACTAAATAAACTCACTGCCCCTTGCTTCACCTTGGCGAAGCATTGTATTCCAACAACTTTATGCTGTACTTCTGGGGAGCATTGGGCCCCTGTTTGACACAGGAACAAACGAAAGGCGTATGAACTGAGCAATCAGTCAGCAGCTCCCAAATGGACGTGATTCCCTGAATTCGCTCCGCTGCCTTGCAGGTAGGCTAATCAGCCAAAGGCTCGGGGTGGTGTCCCCTAAGTCAACACCCTACTTCGGCTTGGGCAACCGGGTAGTATTTCGCCCACTGACGAAACCATGGATTTTTATGTATTGTGTTGTGTTTTCTTTTACTATTTCTGTACCTGGTTTTAAGTCCCATGGTTTCTGATGGCTCGTGTCTATGCATAGGCTGCTGCTAAATATATAATTATATACATCATTGCTGTGGATGAACTAGTTGCAATAGTTTTCCTCAATGCCGTTCGGTAGAATTTGTCTAAGATGCGTTCAGCATCCACTTAAGAACATTTGGTCAAGGAAGCTCGCATGTGCATCAGAGATTTCGTCTAACACCCAATGGTGCCTGACTCGATGACTACTATTTCTACCTGATGAAACGCGTCTTGGAGTGCAGTGTTTTCGGGGCAAACAACAACCAATATTCATATGTTTCATCAGTTACGTTCCCAGTGCTCAAAATGATCAAGGTTCATTTCAAAAATAATCGCGGTCCACATTGAGATTACAGTTTACCATCAATTCACACAACGAGGGTTACATAAAGATCCTTTTATGAATATAGGTCGCACTCTCAGATTGCAGAATGTATTTCACAGAAAGCAGCTCCATCTTTAGCTGCAAGATCAATGGTGTCTAACAGATTACTTTCGGTTCCATCGCTCAACATGCAGTGGACTCAACCGAATGTCAACCAGTGAATGACGGTGAGAATGCTGGCAAAACGAATTCCTGTTTTAGACTGGCCGGTTTCAACTGGTTACCACAAACGTGCGTAAATCTATACTCCAAACGCTCAAACATGGTTAGTGGGAACATGCTGAAACGACTCGTTGTGTAGCGACATAGTAGACACCGAAACGAGCCATAGAGCGGAAGAAAGTAACCAACAAAGTTAGCGACGCCGTTACGGCTGGAAGCAGGGTGCTGATCGAAAGCTAATGGCAACTGACAAAGGGGTCGCCTAGGGCATCGCAGTGGACAAAGCAAAATTTTGGCGCTTGATATAACACAGGTAATCCGATGTCTGTCGATCCACAGAAGTAATGGAATCTCAAGCAACCTAGTGAAAATGCTTAATTTTGCGGATTACAAACGAGTTATCAAGCTAACTACAAGGAGCTCGTGTATTGTATTCGAATACTAGCATCGGAAGGTGTCACCGAGTGGTGATTTGTTCCTTATGCTACTTTATTATTAAAGAAATTTAAGGATACTCACCAGCTTGTGCATCTGTTGAAGGTGATAAAAAGAAAACCAGATAAGCAAACAATCGGTTTTTCGTTACGTACTGTGAGTACCTTTTCATAAATACGTGCCAATAAACGCCACACGTTTGTGAGACAGACGAACGGTGATTGCAAATGCGATTTAATCGGTAGTGGAACGATCATAACTAGTGTTTACTTGCGCTGTCGCTTGTCTGCTACTGTAGTGGAGGGCGAATCAAAAGTAATATAGGTTTATTTCTTTTAGGCTGACGGCGGAGAGGCTTGCTAGTTTTGGGTACCTACACACAGGATGAGTAGTAAAGGAGACATCGGATGAGTCCTCGTGAGAAGTATCGAATTGGTCTAAGCCAGGCAACTCAATAACTGCTAATGAATGCAAATAGTGGGGTTTGTTTAACAATAGTGTAAAAACGGCACCACGCAAGATTTGTATTATGTTGCTAGACGGTATACGACAAAAGTACGTCACATTTCCAAATGCGGCAGTAAGATGAGCCCATTCACTTGTAGAATGATTAACAGATAAAAGGCATTTACTAAAATTTTATTGCGGTAGCATCCAAGTCGAATAGTTTTCCACACGCTCGGAAAGGCATATGGGATCCGTTTCTCCCATTAAGACTCGTCAAGTATACACTTCTCGTGGTTACATCAGAAGTCGAACAGATAACCACCAACGATTTGCGCCGTTGAGCCACGCAGGAGGGTGGCGAAAGCCACTAGTGGTCATGGGAAGTGCCCCGCTGACCAGTCCTGTTAACGAGAAACGGCTGTCTGATGTCTTTTCGATAGTATGGAGGACTTAGTCGTTTGAAATTCATTGTCATGAACTCCCAAAGAATTTACATCAGAAACGGCTTACACAAGATCTCAGCAGGGGGATGCATCCCGATTTGTCCAACAGTGTATAGATTCGTATTACAATTCAAGGAGACCTTGGGATGACAGATTAGGGATTACCAAGTATACCGAGCTCGTTAAACAGCCGCAAATGACTTTAGGCTTCGAACGAAAGTAAGTGCGGACGCTGGATTTGGAAAATGCCCTTGGGCGACACTTACCGCAAGTTGACAATCGTAGGTGTGATTTTTTGAAAAAAGACATGGTTGCGTCGAATTGGTGATTTCACAGCATTTTCCGTTTACCATCGCCCAGAAGCTGATGAGGATACAAGGACATAGCTAGGTTAGGATGGCCATGATAAGGTCCGAAAATGAGGGTGAATGTCAAATGGTATTCGATACCTGGGCAGCATTACTGAAGATAGACGTACGTTGAGAGTGGTGGTTTTGCAATGCCCGGCTAGTAACTTTGAGCTTCGCAAGGTAAATAGTCGAAGGTTTAATACTGTGCAGTATGCGTCGTCCTTTGTCTAAAATTCGATCCTGACGACTCAGTAAAAGAAATGTCTCACTAATCAAGTCAAGAATGCACTTTTGTGCAGCCAGGAAGAGTTGAGGTTCATTATATAGTACTTTAAACCCGTGTAACATGGTCCCAACCAACACGAGCACCAACACTACCACCATCGACAGCAATAATCGCAATCGTTTATCAGTGTTTTCTATCGATACGATTCCACCATACAACCAGAATGACTCTACTACCGTGGGCAGCAGAGGGACTCAGCGGTAAATCTAAAGTACCAAAGCAAAGTTTCAGGGCCAAGGTACTTGCAATTGAGATGGCTGTCCTGTCCTCTGCACAGCAGTACCATGCAAGTTAGTGGACAGTGAGTGGCACTATTTCATATGTAATAACTTAGTCACGACAGTCATCACTGTCCCC